TCCAACCCCATGATGTCTGTCATGTGTTAATCCCATCTCACTAAAAGTGTAATGGTCCAAACTGAGTGCTATTGCTCCCTGGAGCTTTACTGTTTGATCAATGCAGAGGGGGTTCAGTGGAGTAATGAGATAGCTTTGGGGGTTTGCCAGCATAAAAAAAAGAAAAAAGCTGAATGTTAACACTGATTGACTGCCAGCCCTCCACATGCTCCCGGTACAATTATGTTCTGCGCAGCTTGTCGCACTGATGCCGAGGGCTTCGGCGTCCAGCAGCTTGACGCCAGTGCTGCTGCACTGAAGGCCTGGCCATGTGTAGCGAAACTGATTGGTTTAGAAACTTAAGGGAATATTTGTACATGTGGGTGTGTACTCCACTGTGCTTCTGCATGCATGTGTGTGTTTGATGTTTCGAGGCTGATGACATTTTAAAGGCACCTGCAGTGCCTACCTGACAAACCTGTAGCACACTTGACATATGTCCGTGCATTCATGCGTTAGAGGATGACGGCACTTTGAAAATTATCTTCCCCAGAACGGATTTATACTTGCCTACCTGGCTCAGGATACTGTATGGATAGTTAAACAGATTAGGAAACAGTTCACTGAACTTGCCAAGACCCCAAGGAAAGTTTCAGATGTTTTAATTTGATCACAGTATTACCCAAGACGCAACTGCTGGGAAAATTAGCAAATGGAGGCTCTATCATTGCATCCAGCCTTGTGCTCATTATGTGTGTTTGAAGCTGATGTTTCATTTTTGTTTTGTTTGATCCCCTCAGTAATTCTAAAAAAGAAAAGAAAAGAAAAACACAGATTCATGCATTTGCTGATATACTGGCAGATCTCAATGGCCATTTGTTGGATGGCTGGTCTTAAGCTACAAGTAAAAACTGTAAGGACAAAGACCAGAACTCCTCATATATATTTCTCATCCATACTGATGTAAAATAGCTCATACGCCAATTGCAGGTGCACTTATATAATGCAGCCAGATATGTTAAAGAGATAGCTTCTGTTGAACCAGCGTGGTTCTAGACCTCTGAATTGCTCCCCATAGAGATACAGCAATACAGCTTTTTCAGTTTCGATACCGATCCCAATGCTGTGGCTTTGAGTATCAGCCGATACCGATCCGATACCATGGTTGACCTAAAAAGCTATATACCTTTACATGTAGAACAGAAAAGACTAGAGGCATCAGGCATTGATGACTACACAGTTCTTTCCTAAGATAAAATGAAACAAGATGAAACAGATTAATGCAGTGATGAACTATTTATTTTAAGCAAAAATAAACAACAGCAGTTGAAATAGTGTGAAATACCTCCACACAGCAGATTCTCTCCTTCGCTCCATGACGTATGACGTAGCTCACTTCGCAATAGATTTAAAGGGGAAGGATTGCCTCAGGTATAGGTTGCATTTTCCGATACCCAATCCATCTGTTTTGATGATATCGAGGCCAGTATTCGATCCAGATATTGGATCGGTGCATCCCTAGCTCCCCGCATCTCAGATTTGGTCAGCGATTCAATTAGTGTTGGGATCATAGAGTGGAGCTAAAACCTGAAAATGGGTTAGCATTTTTGCACCTCCGGTTTCCTTGTCTTGAAGTGAATGGGTTTTTTGATAAGATCCCCAAAATAAGGTATGTGGTTAACATAAGGTAAAGATATTTTCACATTTTTTTCTTGAACATAAAATCTGTCAGTAAATACCCCACTTGTTATTTTGAAGCTTCTACGTATCTTAAAAAGGTGGCTGCTAAGAAGTGGCTAAATGAAACCAAGGAGGTTGTCGCCAAGCACTGTTTTTACAGCCTCATTGTGGTGATGACGATGAAGTGACGTGATCGTAGTGTAGTTCATTTATAGCGCACATTAGCTTTTTACTTCTGGCAATTGCATTTATGCATTAAAAATCATGATAGTGGTGTCCTTTTGTGAAGAAGAACCACCACAACTTATATGCTGAACGAAGACTGATGGGCTTTCCTCCAAATAAACATTTGTTTGCCACAAAGCTTATTTTCTGCAATAACCCAAAATCTAATGGAAAATCCCATTGGCTTCTTGATGAGGGAACCAGGGCGATGCTAGTCTGAGTGGGCAGAAGTTCGCTGCATAGATCAGCCTCTCATTGGGCGGAACGAGTCACCTGCTGAAGTCCCGCCCTACCACCTCCGGTTGTGTAGCAGTTTTCAACCGTTTTCAACACGTCCTTTACTAACTTTTGTGGTGTTTGATCTTGCGGGGATGTAGCCATTTTTCTGCCATGGTTCGCGTCCTGTAGGTGATATTTTTGTGGGCGTGTTACACCAAAACCTGTTTCCCCCCCGGCAATATTTTTGCAAGCGCACTGTTGCTGTGGCACCGCCCAGAACGATTGTGATTGGTTGAAAGAAATACAAGCAGCCAGGGCGTTTTTTTTCTCCAATCTTAAAGTGAGAGTCGGCCCAGCCAGACCTTTCTTTTCTTGAGAAAGGTCTGGTGAGCGAGACTAGGGCGATGCTAACTTTCAACTGGACCTACAAAAAACCTCATCCCTGCACCCTCTAGTGACAACTGATTCAGCCACTTAGAGAAACAATTTACCAATCAGAGCTTTTTGGCAGGATTAGAAAAAAGGTCATCTTCCTAACTAGCTAGCTAGCTACCCTACACCATTCTCAAAAAACAGCAATAGAAAATGGCGATAGACATGGATTCAATTTGCACAGCTGTTCAAATTGATTTAAGCTGACTAACAACTTTTAAATTGCCATATTACTTTTCGTCAGTCTGAAAAATGTCAGCACCTTCAGGTCATTGCTACGATGCCTTCTGTGTCAACTGAAAATTGTGTTTGCAGGATGAATAATATTAAAGCTAACCTGTACTAAGAAATAAGGTGCTAAATGAGATCTGTTTGAACACAAAAGTGATGGTTAGATTAGACTACAAGTGAGGCTGACATAGGTCTACACACTTACATTCAGTGTAAATACAATTAACAGCTATAGGCCGACACTATCAGTGTGTCTCAAATCACATACTTCCGTTACTACACTTCCATGTAGTATACTATGTGCACTGTGTACTTATTGGTGGAGTGCGCGAATTTCGACAGGGTAGTGTTGTCTCAAACCAAACACAGCCGTTGTGCACTTACCGGAAATGACGGCCGCAAATTAGCTAGTTAGCAAACTAGCATTAGCATTCACGTTATCGTTCGCGTTACCAAATCATTACAGACTGCTAAATTAAAGGATAGCTTCGGTATTTTTCAACCTGAGCCCTATTTCCCCATGTGTATGTGTGTGTATGATTCATAGGTACAACTCGTTTTAAAATTGGTTCAGTATTGAGGGAGGCGGATGCAACCAGGAGCCGTGAAACGAGCTAAAACGGTAACGGGGGCAAATGCGTTACGTATAAGTTTGCGCATTAAAAGTGCTTTTTTTCGCCACTGACCGGTTCAGATCACCAGTGCTATCTCTGTAACTAGCATACTAAGCGTTTCCCTTACCTCTGGGCTGTGATGTCATCTTGCGAGAGCTTTGCTCCACTGTGTCTGTAGCTCTCTCTACTCGTGGGGCAGCTGTTTTCTTGAGGAAGAGGTGTTGCGAGATTGGATGTCTTCTCTTCTTCGGCTGGCAGTAGTCATCTTGGGAGAAGTGAGCACTGCAGACCTGACGGTCTGCAAGGCGCAGTGTCTGGAGAGGAGTGTTAGCATCCATTTGTAGCACAACTAGCCACAACTTCAGCAATTTGCCGTCTGACAAAGGCAGCCTATGAAAGCTGTACGGGGTGTTGCGCGACATCCTGTTCTTGCAATTCGGATAAGCACAAACACGAACCATTGTTTTCAATCGATGCAGTAAAACTCTCAACTGTACTCAGGGACAACCAGTGCCACCCTGAGCGGCGCTCAGCATGGCTCCTCTGTTTTCTTCTGGCAACAAGCAAAGCTCTCGTGAGATGACGTCACAGCCCAGAGGTAAGGGAAACGCTTAGTATGCTATTTACAGAGATAGCACTGGCGATCTGAACTGGTCAGTGGTGAAAAAAAGCACTTTTAATGCGCAAACTTATACGGGACGCATTTGCCCCATTACCGTTTTAGCTAATTACGCGGCTGACAGCTGCATCAACCTCCCTCAATACTGAAACAATTTTAAAACGAGTTGTACCAATGAATCATACGCACACATACACATGGGGAAATAGGGCCCAGGTTGAAAAATACCAAAGTTATACTTTAACCCAATAAACATACTGCTGGTTTATACCCGACAACAGTATAGTGGTGCTTAGTGCAAAAAACACATGTATATTTGTACAATGCAGCGACATTCACGGTTGCACAGTCCTCGGACGCCATTTCCAGTTTGAAAAGTGGTCCCTCCCCTTCCGCTACGTAGCCAAGATGGCAACCATTGAGGGTGAGAACTGTCCATAGTTTCACACTCACTTCTTGACCGTTTTGAGTGCACCATCCGGTACTCATAGCGCACTGCATTTTTCCATACTTCTCAGTGTGAATGCACTTATGCACTCAAAATATTAAGTGTAAGTACAGAAGTAGGCGATTTGAGACACAGCAAAAGGCTTCCTTGTTCACAGAAAATCCTCTATTGATCTAGCAAGTTTTTTGCTCATTAATCCTTTATTTACCAAGATGAAACAGACTGAACATGCATCGTAAATTTCAGCCACACCTAACTACAAGCCCAAACTGTTTATCCCATCCTTGCCTTGGAGCTTCAACCACAGTCCTCTACTGCTGGCTAATGAACAGCTCCAACGGATGCCTTGCTCGAAGGAGCCATGACTGTCTATTGATCTTAGCTCTTTAGTTTCCCCTAATGCTTTTACTTCTAACATCAATGCTTCCCTGGTTGCTTTTTGACTTTGTATTGATCTAGATATTAAAAGCTGTGGAGGATGGATGGATGGGTTGTGCAGAAAGATCAATGGCTGATAGCAGTGACTAATTCTGTGTTGGTTTTATTTTCGCAGATGATAAGGTGGGGTTTATACTTGGCGCTGTTGGTTCCCTGTCAGCACTGGTCACAATGGGAATAATGATCCACCGGCACAACAGGAAACAAGACAGGTGGGTTCACACATGATTAACTTCACAGAAAAATCAATTCCTCTATTCCTACGGTGAAACAAAATCCAATATAGGAAACAAGAAATATAGAAGAAGCAAATTAAACTAGTGTTAGGACTTACAGTGCCCTTGTCAGCAGCTGTCTTTTACACTTGATTGCTGCTGCAGATTAATTCTTTCTCTTAATTTAAAAGGAAAGGCAGCATATGTAGGTAGTTTTTAACAACAAGCCAAAGTATTACCCAACAGATTGGCAGTATAATAACTGTACAGTATCAGGTGGTATTATAACCACATAAAAATTATAATATTTTGCTGCACCTCATTATGGGATTAATTAAAAATATGATCCTCAAGATTTCAGTCCAAGCTGACCTGATGACCCTCAAGTAAGCAAGTGTGGTTTAATAAAGGTCCCTGAGGGGGGAGGCAAAGTCTCGTTAAGCAGCTACTCTGTCAGAAATACAACAGAAGAGCAACTGATGTATCTGTTTACAGTGCAGCTGTTGTTGTCATAGAGAGAACAGCAGTAGTTTTCCACACAACAGCAGGCCAAAGTAAAAGGAGGTGGTTACCTTGCTGAGAAGTCGGGGGTGTGCAGCCTTTCGCCTGCAGCTCTTCATCTACCAACTCGTTTTGGCTGGTTCTTCTCTCCAAAAATGACAGCTGTCATGTGAAAAAAATTCTGGTGAACCAAAGAGGTTAGCGCATACATTGCGTTTTCCTGTGACTGCTTCACAATAAAAGCCTCCCCGTGTTTAGCTGGTTGAACACTTACATCATAGAGCCATAAGAAGTGTTTGCATTAGCAGTATAGTCAGCAATGGAGTTGATGTAGTGCACAGGAAGCAGTGAGGCCTCAAACAATAACACTGGATTACATATGCATTCATTGTTTCTAGTGAATTGTTTGTGTGTAGGCAGTATAAAATCTATGTGGGATTGGCGGACTCCGCCATGAACAAGGAATGCTACTTTATAGAAAGGTAATGACAGAATGTAAATATGTTAAAATGTTGCTCAAAAAATGCAGAACAATATGCCACATAAAGCCATATCCAATAGATATCTATCTAAAATAGGGTTTGATTTCATAAATATCTTAAAGGAAAAATGTACCCACAAAGTGATCATTTGTATATCAGTTACTCATCCCGTGTTTGTTGAATTCGTCAAGTGTTTTTTTTGCATGCCTCCACGGTAGAGTCCTGCACAGGTTCAAAGCTCAGTCCCAAAACCTGACCCGACCCACCCGTGTTTAAACACACAGATTTGCCATTGTGACATTTTACATAATGTACTTTGGTCATTATTGGGGGTCTTGTTCACGAGTGAGGGTAAAATGGAGCATGAGATGGATCGGCGGTTTGGTGCGGCTTCTGTAGTGATGTGGGCACTGCGCCAGCTCCGTCATGGTGAAGAGGGAGCTGAGCTGTAAGACAAAGCTTTTGATTTACTGGTCCCTCTACGTCCCAACCCTCACCTATGGTCTTGAGCTCTGGGTAGTGACCGAAAGAATGAGATTGTGGATACAAGTGGCCGAAATTAGTTTCCTCCGTGGGGTGGCTGGGCTCAGCTTTAGAGATAGGGTGAGGAGCTTGGAGTAGAACCGCTGCTCCTTCGTGTTGACAGGGGTCAGTTGAGGTGGTTCGGGCATCTGATCAGGATGCCTCCTGGGTGCCTCCTGTTAGAGGTGTCCCATGTCCCACTGGTAGGAGGCCCCAGGGCAGACCCAGAACATGCTGGAGGGATTACAAATCTCATCTGGGAACACCTTGGGGTCATCCAGGAGGAGCTGGAAAGCGTTGCTGGGGAGAGGGACGTCTGGGGTGCTTTGCTTGGCCCTCTGCCCCTGTGATCCTGCCCCGGATAAGCGGATGAAAATGGATGGATGGATGGATGGATGGATGGATAGTGTACTGTCCCACTCAGATGTGTAAAGGACTCGCTCAGTCAGCTCCTGCTTGTTGTTGATGAAATACAAAGGAACACAAAGATAACTGATTTTGCGGTAATCACGTGTATGACAAAGTAACTGGCCCGTTGCTATCAGTCAGCTGCATCATCAGCTTGAACATCCTCTGCATATTTTATCAGCCTGCCACGTGATACAGTCGTCGGATCAGGCAGAAATTTCTGAGGGCTCACACGGCCAGCTCTGGCACCTATGATTTCATTTTGTCACCCACTGCTCTCCTGCATTTAGTTCATTGTTACCAGTGCCTCTACCCGTAACTTTAGATCTTTTGTGAGAATAGTGAAGTAGTTAAGAGAACATCCGTCTCCATCCTGCTGTGTACTCTCAACAAGAGCGACCCAACCACCACACATCGAACCCTCGCGTTACCCCCTTGACATGACTTTCTTTGCATGGGTACCCAACCCAGTAAGGACTCTGCTCCACAGTGAACAAAGAATCCAAAAGCTTAAAAACACTTCTGTATACCTGTAGCACACCTGAGCAAGTACGTGCTTTTGAACTCTGCTTGTGCATTCCATTAAGCAGAGTTCAAATGAACGTGCTTGCCCAGGTGCGCTACTTGTATGTGCATGAGGCTGTCCATGCGGAAGTGTTTTAAGTATTAAGCTTTAAGGTGAAATTAGTGTGTTCGGAAAGTACTGAGCTTATGATTGATTGAAAAAGATTTGGATTATACTTCACAAGTTATGTGAGAGTTTGTAAGTGACGCACTCCTCTTTTCAGTTCATCAAGAATTTTCTCTGTTTTTGGATTCTTCATTCACGCAGGAGAGATGTGAGAAAAGCAAAGTTTTCTCCACAAATTTAGCACGAGGTGAGTTATTGAGATACAATTGATCAGTTGGAGGGTGAGGTATTCCTTTAAGGATTATAACTTTAAGGTAAGACTGAAGCTGACTGTAGAATCAAACAAAAACATCTGGCTGTCTCCCTCTCTGTCAGTGCATACCACCAATGAAAAGGCCTCCGCTGGTCAGACTAACTCAGAATTATGGCACAAATACTGGCTTGTTTTTGTTGGGTAGGCCTCCAGCCATAGCCGCCCATATATCTTTAATTCTGTCTTTGAATAGATAGATTATATGTTGGAAATACGAGGCACATTTTATCTTGTGAAAACCGGTACATAGCTAGAGGTTTTCTTCCCCTCCCATTTCCTCCCAATAGTTAAAACTTTTTTGCAGCACCAACAAAGACACAAAAACACAAAAGCAATGAATCCCACCTGCCTGTTTGATATTCAACATGTCCCAGCCTCTTAACCGTAACTCATAAATTTTCTTTCTGATCTGATCAAACCATATAAACCCATATACCCTGTGGGATCATACTTATGACTGCAGTCCAGAGAAACGAGAGGCTAACAGCTCTCCTGGGCGTATACAAGCAAATTAAAGGCCTGTTTTATGGGCTCATAGACTTCATTTGGGCTTTCCCCTGCCATAACTCCGGCAGGGGAAGAAAAGATGGATGTCAGGAATCAAGAGCCACCTCCCGCTCACAGCAGCACTTGGGGCAGCATTGAAACTGCTATGTTTTCGAGTCGTGAGGGCGAGGTGCGAGCACACCTGCCCTCTCTTGAAGTCTCGATCAGGGGAGGCCAGGTGTAAAAAGAGATGAAGAGTGTCAAGAGGTCTGCAGATGTGAGGGAGGTGATCTCACACACACGACATGCTGGTACATATGCCAGTACAGGAGAGCCGGGACACACACACAGCCAGGAAACACACCGTGCCGACAGTAGCCTAAATGTGTAAAGAGAAATCTTATACATTCCTTGAGTGTGAGTGGTCACACTGACAAGCATGAGCGCACACACATGCATACACACTCTCCTACCAACAAGTGCAGACACATTGAGTCCTCCCAACATCAGAAGCATAGCAGGATGGAAGTAGCGAGGGTCTTACTGTATTTCACATCATGTCTGGGTTGCGTGTCTGGAGGAAAGAAGCAGTGATACTACACAACTCTGTGTGTGCGTGTGTGTGTGTTTGTGTGCGACAGGTAGATAGTGAAGGCCTCAGTAACCTGCGTCTCAGACTCAGACTCGCAGGGGTACTTTCCACATCTAGGGTTACTCCGCAGGTTTCAACAGGTCTGCTGGCAGCTCACCACAGGAGTAAGAAAGTCATTACACCGCAAGATGCAAGTCTGTTTGTGTGTGTGTGTATGTGAGTGTACCATCATGTCTGCTCCACTTCTGCTCTGTGACACATCAAAAAGGTAGGAGGGGTCTTTGTCTGAACTTGGCAAGGGGTTCAAAATGGATCGAAGGAGTGAGGTGAACTGTCTCAACACCAAATGAAATATCTGTGATAATAGGGGCGCCCCGGTAGCTCACCGGGTAGAACGCACACCATTAAAGCTGAATCCTTAGAGTCCAGCCTGGGTCCTTTGCTCCATGTCATTCCCTGTCTCTCTCTCACTCGCTATCTAATAAAGCAGAATGCTAAAGAAAAAAAAGCCTCTTGTCAGCCTCTCATTGCTCGACTCATTAGCCCCATTTCCACCAAGCAGTACGATTCAGTTCAGTACGCTTTTTTTCTGTTTCCATTGTGAAAAGTTCCTTACCGTCCCCATGTTTGGGGTACCTAGCACACAGATCTGGTACTAAAAGGTGGAGCTGTGAACACTGCAGGCTGATTGGTCAATAGAGGACGGTCACTTTGCTCAGGGCTGAGTTGTGGCTGGTTTTGAGGCTCGTGTAACCACTGTTGGTGTTGTAGAGAGGTTTATTAGTCGATTGTAACTATAAAATGAAAAGATGTTTTGCTGCGTCTTGCAGCAGCTGGAGTCGGAAACAAAAATAACTTAATTCACCAGACCACAAGCCGGCGACTTTTACGGTGGAACATTAACTTGTAATGTTACACAGTGCATGAGCTGACGACGTGAATCATCAACACACCTTAAATTTCAGGGTAAAAAGTTTGACCATTACTTTATATGACATACATTTTTAGCATGAAAGGATCTTCAAGTGTTCATATACATTAATTTCGCCCAGATTGTGTGAACGCATATATTCTAATCCTCAATCAAAGAAAAAGAACAAGCGTTGTGGAGTGTCAGGCTCCGGCAACACGGAATAAATGCTAAATGAACCAAGGATCTAGGTACCATGTCTGAGGGGTTACTTTTGGTTCCAAAGGCACCATACTGAAAGTGTTTGGTGGAAACAGAGAAGGCGCTTGTCTTTATCTGGACACTTTTCCCCCACAAATACAACATGCTAATGTTTTTAGCACGAGCCTATGGCATTTTACATTGTATAAATTAGCTCAGCAGCTAGCAGACTTCTCTCTACTCATATGAAGCCAGGGACAACAGCAACATTTAACAAAGATAAGGTTACAAAATGTGGCTCTATCACAACTCACAGCGTTCACAGACAAAACAACTGTCTTATACTAAACACCTTTCCAAACAAATATAACATGCTAACGTTATTAGCAAAACCTATGGCTTTTTACATTGTATAAATTAGTGTAGTGACAAGCGGAGATTTCCTCTGCTCATATGAAGCCAGGATAATGCTATTTTTTAATACCCCATGGAGAGAGACTCTCACTGCAGACTGTTTTATTTTGTTCGGAAAATGTCGGCGTGCAGCCTCGTTCTGTGGACGATAAAAGAGGTACAGACTTCCCTCTGCGCCACCAGTGATAAGGAAATACAGCAAGTGCTTGACAGAGCAGTAAGTGACAACAGCTCCGCCCACAGTTTGCGGTGGAAAAGCTAAGCGGACCTGAGGTCTCGGTACCACGTCTGAAGGGTTACTTTTGGTTCCAAAGGTGCCGTACTGAAAGTGTTTAGTGGAAACAGGGCTTCATGGCAGCACGTGTCTCCTCATGGTCACTGCTTGTCAATCTTCACTTTAATTAATTTATATAATGTCAAAAAAACAACTAATGCATTACTAGTTTAAATACAGTGGGAGGGCTCAGTACATTTGCCCTTCAACATTTATGTCCCTGTTTTGCAAGTGTCCTTAATGAGCGACTATGTTTTATATGCACTGTTAATAAAACACTATTAATAAGAGCAATAAAGTGCTGTTATTAAGAACCGACTTGAAAAAAATCCCTGCCCTGATGCAAGGTCACAAGACAATTTTCCTGTGGTCAGTTTTGATTAAACAGTCGTTCCCCATTACGTCACTTATTCAACTCCCATGGAGCAGCAGGGCATGTAGTCTGGATGGCTTTATCCCCCAAAATAACTTCCACAAGGTGAGGATGATCAGCTTTGAAATAAGGACATACCTAAATAGAGGTGGTGGTGTTAAAATGTTTCTTCTTCTTTTTTTGTTAGTTGGTGTTTTGTAATTTTGTTCTTAAATTCTAAAGTTGTTTCAGTGACTCTTCTTTTATTTGTGTTTTCAGAGAGAAAAAAGAGGACCAGATGATGACTCAAGAACAACCTTGCTAAACCATCAAAGTTCTTCCGGATTATGGATTACACCGCTCCACATCGAAACCTGCAACTATGTGGCCTATGGCAACAAATGTGTTTAGAGCTCAGCATTTGGAAACCCCGTGCAGTTGTGTTGTTTGTTAGGACAGTGGTCTTTTCTTGACCTGTTGACCCTGTCAGGAAAAAACCTCAGGCGCTAGTTAGGCTTTCAGCGTGTTGTTTAGCCTCATGTTTTCCCTCTTGTTTAGTTTGGAAAACCTCCAGGTCGTGGTAAATGGAGCATGGGGGTGAGGATTGAGGGCACTGAGGTAAAGGGAAAAATGCTGATGATTGTTTTTATATTCCCGTTTTTGCATGACTGAACGTCCGATCTTCGCTAGAGAGAAAACTGTATAAATACTACACAGAGATATCATCATCACAATCAACGCTCCCTTCTCCTGTTCATTTTAAAATAGGACCAGATGTGTTCATGTTGGTGTCACATGTGAAGTGAACCCGATCATTTTTTTTTGGTTGAGAGACTTTGAACTGGTGTGCAGCCTTTGTGTGGGCTCAGAGCCTTCAGTCAAACGAAGGGTTTTGCTGAGTGACTGAGAAAGATACTCCACAAATGTTACGCAGAGGTCACCTTTTTGCACAATGTCAACACCCTCTGAGGGTTGTTTTTATACTATTGCATATTTGAAGACTGATTAAACGCACATGCTTTCATTAAAATCAAGAAATGATATTGCATTGCCTCGTTTTTAACAAACTGGCTGTTTATCCAGCGGCGTGTTGTCTTTGTGAATATTTGCTGCTCAGTAATAAAGAATCAACCCCTCTTCAACCAGCAGGCGTGCATCATCTGTTACAGCCACATGCCCTGCCGCAAAACTGTCATCTCATGTTACTCCGCCGTCTTCTCCTCTACTTTGAACCTGACTCGCTTCTCCTTTTCCAAAACAAAGCCCTCGGGGGGGGTAAGAGGAAACAGAGTGACAGGGTCCTGTGTGGCTGATCCCTGGGAGTGATAGGTGGGGGTCCAGCTGGGGAAGAAGAAGGTTCTTGTTGGAGACTAATTGAAATAACCTGGCCTGCTGGACTGGGAAGGCTTTGAAGTTTTTTTTTTTTTTTGCCACATGTGAACACTGTTTCCTAACTAGCGGTTGTGCAATGCTCTATCCATTACCAGCTCCTGCGCATATGGACTGTTGTTGCCGCTCTGTTGTGCCTCAGGGACTCTTGGGACGCTATTGTTTTTCACATTAAAACACATCAATACCCTTTACGAGCATAAATAAGTGCACGTGCACCCACTTCACATGTGTTGTTACGCGGTAATGAAACAAGTCCTGATACCCTCACAAAGACGTAGTAAGCCACCCTGTGTGCCGCTGTCTGAGGTCTTTTTACAGTATCAGCTCACTCACTGTATAATCTCCTAACTGGGTGCAAATTTCCCTGCTTTCATGTGTCAGTCATTGCTTATAAGAGAGGCAATGGAGCAAGCTGCTGCGTCTGTTTGCATAGTCAGATGCTGATAAATTGCGTGCAGATGAAAGTAGCGGGTTTTCATCTCTGGGGGCGGCCTGTTCTAACCCCGAATGTTTACGCTCGCTTATCACCCCAACAACCCGGCATGATTAGTTCAATCAAATTCAAACACGAGTAAATGCTAATGTGTTCTGTGGAAGCCTGTTGCTTTCACGTGGGACTTTTCCCATTTCTCAGATCTGCTCCACATCCCTGGATTATGAAGAAAGGCCTCTGAAGTGGCTTTTGGATGAGGCTTTTGTTTTGGGTGTGCGTGTTTTTTTTCTCTGTTTCATGTCAACTCCAGCTTTGCAGGTGTACTTTGTCCCTTACCTCCTAATGCCTCACGGTTGAGCAGCACCTTCTGATGTTAACTCCTAATTTTAAGGCGTAGGTTGAAATAAAGATGGATTTCGGGATTAAGGTGTTTGCCCAAACACTGAGATTTTGTTTGAGTTTGTTACTGGCAACGTGAACACTTAATGTCGGGGTGAAGATTTGAGCAAAGTCAACTAATCCTAAGGTTGATAAAAACACAAGTTTGAATTTTTTTTCTCGTTTTGGTTATACTTTATTTTTATATTCTCTTTTTGCAAACGTAGGGCAATCCTAAAAGCAATTGAAAATGAAATCATCTTTCTCAGCTATAGTCATTAGCTTGGGAAATGAGGTCAGCATCCAATCGGAGAACAACAGCAAACATCTCTTTTTCTAATATACCCCTTAATGATTTGCATTTTATGAGCTATTTTTTCCATTATTGTACTTCCTGAATTGTATCTTTCAACTAATTGCTAATTTGCCCTCGCTGTGTTGTCCTTTTTGGATTTTCTGTGATTTTCTTCAGTGCTGTGAGTCTAAACATTCAAAATAATTATTCAAAAAAGCTTCACTTAAAGGGACAGTTCACTCCACACAAGTTTTTCCTCCTGTCTGTAGCTATGTTTAGCAGTCTAAATTGTTTTGGCCTGGGTTGCAGAGAGTTGGAGCTATCAGCCGTAGAGATGTCTGCCTTTTCTCAAATATAATAGAACTAGATGGCACTCAGCTTGTGGTGCTCAAAGTGCCAAAATATACATTTGAAAAACTCAACAACAATGTCTTTTTCCAGAAATCATGACCCGATTACTCAAGATAATTCACAGACCGTTTTGTGACTACTTTAATGTATGAACTACTTTCTTTATACTGAATGACACCTGCCAACTGTATCGCCACACAGAAGGAAGCGTGCATGTTCTCTTGGACCAGAGGCTCGTCTTTGCGACAGCCAAGATGTAAACATTGATGGCGCCCTCCTTGGCTGTGTTGTACCGTTTGCTAGCTCAGTGGTGCTAGGTGAGCTAGCAGTAGATGCACACTAACTTCTGTGTGGTGATACAGTTGGTGGGTGTAGTTTGGTAGGAAAAATAGTACCTACTATGGATGTTGGTTTCTGTTCATTTTGTTTTTGACAGCCCAACACCCATCAACTGGTAACTTACCGGTTCATTTTTATGAAAAATATCACAAAATGACATAAAATACAAGAGGCCTTTTCCTCCTTCACTCAGATATAATAGAATTAGATGGCACTCAGCTTGTGGTGCTCGAAGTGCCAAAAAATAGATTTGAAAAACTCAACAGCAATGTCTCTTTCCAGAAATCATGACGCAGAAGGAGGCGTGCATCTACTGCTAGCTCACCTAGCACCTTTTAGATAGCTAACGTTACAGCTCAGTGGGGGAGGACGCCATTAATGTTTACATCTTGAGCTGTCATGAGCACAAGCCTCTCATCCACGAAAAGATGCATGCTTCCCTCTGTGGCGCTTTGAGCACCACAAACCAAGTGTCATCTGGTTCCATATCTGAGAGAAGAAAGACATCTCTACGGCTGACATCTCCCAACACTCGGCAACACACACCAAAACAATCTAGATTCTAGTTAAATAAATAGCACTACAGGTAAGAGGAAAAATGCATATTTTTGATTTTGTGGTGAACTCTCCCTTTAAGCAGTGTTAGCACTCTTTTCAGAGCTGTTTCTATTGGCATGCAGAACTCACACTGAGGTCCACCGTATGACCCAAAGCTGAACCTCAGCTTCTGTGAGGACTCATAGAAGTGGCTCTTCAAACACAAACTACTCTTGACATTAACACTCAGTATAACTTTATCACTCACAGGCCAGCTACTAGTGTTCCCCTTTCTCAGTCATCAACATCAGAGGCCGAACTTCATCCCCTGAGGCAATGTAATCCACTCAGCGACCAGCGGCCGTTAGGACCCAAGGCTCATTTTTCATTGGAGTCAGTTCTTTTTATAATGGAGCACGTCATTCTCCCAGGCCACAGAAAAGGCAGATACCTCACTTTACTACACCACAGATGAGCGTAGCAGAGCAAAACAGACCCAGCATGCCCAATCCACCCTTACAGATGTTCGTCCTAGACCATGCCCGACACAGGAAGCCCTTAAAGAGCAAATCAATCAGTCGGCACTGTGGAAACCGGGGGGACAAACCTCCATGGAAAGCTTGTGGAAGGGCACATTGCCAGGGGAGTGAGACGCACTACGTAGCTTGTACCAAATATAAATTCATTGCAGACTCTTGGAAACTTGTGTTTTCATAAACACGGGAACTGGGTGGAAGCGATTTCCCGATTTGGAGTGATTCAAATGCAAAGCAGCGGAGGGCACTGACAAAAGAGAAGTGAGAGGAGAAAATAAATAAAGAATTGTTAGCATTCGCCTTTTATTTGCCTGGAGGGAGAATATTTTCAAAGCTCATTCTCATCCTGAGAAATCATTTTAGTGGTGATAATCCTCAAACAACATTCCCCTCTGATTTCTCAACTGAAAGGAATACAAACCATTTTCAAAAGCTTTTATGCACAGATCAAGTGTTCTCATGAATAAAGATGTGCATCATGGCACTTCTTCGGGGCATGCAAAGATGAAGTTGTGCTCCGTCCTGGTTGTTTGTTTCCCTTTGAAGAAGTTAATTCCCGACGAACACGAATTCCTGTGACCCTGCTTCGCTGCTCTCCGTATCTCTTTCCACCAAAGCTGACCGCAACCTGCAGCTCTTGTGATTTGGTTTTATCCACTTCAATCAGATCCCATTTGAAACCACATGTTTTATTGTAGTGTGGTCCTTTATTTACTCAATACTGAGCTGGCAACGGCAATAGACCTTTTCAGATTTGGCATCTCAGTTTCTTTTCCATAACTTGAAATGTATTTCTTCAAGTATTTAATTTATTGCCACATGTCACTGCCAGACATTAACCTGGAGTCTATCCAAGGAAGAACCTTCAATTGCCAGATATAATCTGTCAAAGGATAACTTTATCCCCATATACCTCTAAAGTCTCAGTATGTAAAGCTGAGTGAGTAATTCCTCCACTCTAGATTTATGATAGCACCTGTCTGTTAGCACAAGTAAACTGTCCCAGCAGGCACGGGAATTCCCATCAAATCCAGCTTCAGAATCCCCCCAGATCATCGAGAACTTTGTTCTTGCCATCAGAGATAAAGCTCTGCAATCCTCCCCAACCATTACACTTAATGATCTGCTTAACTAGCCACGTTACGCCAAAGCTAGTTCCAAGAAGAAAGGCAACTTCAAAAGGCCAATATTCCTCCAAGCTTGGTTTGTGTATTCCCCCCTTTTTCCTCCTTATCGTGCACTGTGGAACTTGTCCGATGCACAGATATGATAAAAAAGGAATTAAATCTCTGCTCTGTGTACGTGGAGTTTCATCTAAGGATTTGTTTGTGTGCGTCTGTGTGTGGGTGGGTTTGCATACAGTCTGAAACCCCAGTCAGAAGTAATACACAGACACCTTTCGAATGAAGCCATATCAGTGGATACTAGCCCAGACTTGCCTCTGTCTCATTTTCTTCATTTACTGACATTAGTGCCATAATTAAGAATATTCAGTGGTTGCAACATGCAGTGCTTTTTCAAGATCCAAGCTGCAAGTACAGTGTTAGTCTGCTCAGTTTATATCCAAATGATTTGAGTGCGTGCGTGAGATAACAAACTCAAAATTGTTAATGTACACATTTGCTCACTCTCAAGATTTCTGCACTTTGTACCCAGTTAGCCCACATTCTTAGACCCTAGAGGCAGGTATTGTTTACTGTCTAGACACACTTTCTTGTGGTATCTCTTGTGTGTGTCTGTGCATATACCTGCTAGTGAATGTGCGATTCATATCGCAGGGGCATTGAAGGTCCTTTATTTTTCTCTCTCAGGCTTATTATGAATTCTCACTGCTGTGATTCATCATGTGTTGTCTCTCCCTCAGCACGTCTGAGCCCACAA